CACACACACACACACACGCGCGCGCGCGCACGCATGCACACGCGCTCGGATTCACACATACAAACACACGTACATAATATGTAGCAAAACGTATAAACGAAAGTGTACACATTTCTAACACAAAATCCCAGCGTTATTAGAATTACGTTTGAAAAGGCTTTTGGCCTTTACACACTAGACTCCCTCGACGTCAAGAGAGAAGCGAACTCTGTGCAACACATACTATACTATTGGCAGACCAGTTTGAAAGGGAATGGATCTACTGGCAATATCCCTGCCTCAAAGGCTGTACAAGTTCACGTCGGTACGTATTGACAAACAGTTTGATCGTGGTTTTGAACATTCGTAGTTCAAGAACGAACATGTTATATTATTGATAAAAGATTTTTTTTTCTTCTAGAAAGTCCTTTGTAAAAAAAAATTCTACCAGAGAGTCTTTTAAGTGAACCAATAACCCAACTCGTGTTATGATTCACTTCGTGAACACTGCAATCCTTATTTAAGAGACGGCACCTTCCATGTCAAAGCTTTTTTTAAATACAAGACAGAGCCCAGTAGGCCGAGAGCTTTGGAAACGTTCAGTAAACAAATTCACTGTATGAGTCTTGTATCAAACTTATTGCGCAATAATGTTTCTGTATTACAATCATCAAGTGTTACACCCCATGGGCTCCAATGTGCGGTGTGGACGAACGTGCAGAAAGGAGAGGTATCTTAACAAAAGAAATGTTGGCTGTCAATGATTATATTGACCGTAGGTGCCCAGCCTGCCACGAAAACAAACAGACAAACAAACAAACAAACAAGCAAACAAACAAACAGGTTTAATGATTTAATTGCTCTGCAGTGATAAAATCCCGTATGGTGCATGTTAAATGATCCAAACATGATTTGCCGAAAAGCCTGATTTTAGGATGTGATTTGTACGGAAGGACGGCACCTTGGCTCACGATGTTCAACATACCACATGTACGGTGTAAGGGAGTAGCTTCCAAGAAGTTAAGCTCAGTCCAAAAACAATATATTCATGCATTTCATTTACGTTTGTTTAGTTTTAGAAAGAGTTTTAAAGCACATGCAACAAAAGAAAAGCCATATAAATGCCAACGATTGGAGGTGTTGCTAGAGAGTAACAAACACATTCAGAAAACAAGGGGGAGAGATAAGGACAATATAGTACGTTTGAAAGGAAAAAAGAAACAAACACACGGGAGCAAGCACCAACCACCTGCTCACTTACTCCAAAGATTCCCGACCGAGACAGGTGCGTTTATAAGCAACTCTGGGTTGTCCGCGATATTACGTCACTGGTGACTTCACCTGAGAAAGATACTGTTGTTATAAGTAGACATTACCCACAGGTACTCGCTACCTTAGAATTACAAAGTCCATTTGACATTTCTGGCTGTATCGAGTTACTGACGTCATGGGGGTCAGAAACCAATAAATGTTCTTACTGCTCCATCAAAATCGTAAGATTATTCGGAGTCGTTATCAAGATATTCAAAGAATTGCTTTTGAAAACTTTGAGTTATTGTGAAACGTAACATTTTGGACGCCAAATTTGTCAAAACTAGGTACTGAGCAGGGAAAACTTTGTAATTCTGAGGTAGTGAAAAGCACACGTCACCTGAGAAAAATATTATCATAAGTACGGATCACCTCCATATTAGTATGGCAGTCGAGCTCACTAATAATGATAATAATAACTGCTTTATGTAGCGTGTGTCCGTGCTCTACATTATATTATGCTAAGCACTTTACACATTATTATCTTTACCCCAGCAGACCGCCAAGAACACTCAGACACATTGGTTTCATCTTCCCGGGAAGCACATTATTCGCGATACACGTCTCCGGTGACCAGGCTTGCGAAAGATAATATTATCATAACATCGGCATGCTTTTAAGATGTACTGGTCTGAGACCCAAAGTGACTGAGCCCTGAAAACAATTTTTTTCAGAAGAGAGAGAGAGAGAGAGAGAGAGAGAGAGAGAGAGAGAGAGAGAGAGAGAAGGAGAGAGAGAGAAGCAAAGACTGTTTTATTTTTTCAATGTTGTGCTTACTGCCTACATTATGTATTTTTGGTCTTGCATTTTTCAACGTTTAGAATTTGAATTTCGACAAAATGTTTCTTGAGCACATGTAATCGATACCACGGATTAGAAAACTGCAATAAAACAAATTATCGGAACCTGGGGCTTAGAACATTTAAACAGCTGGCGGACGAAAGGACAGGTATTTATCACCTCCACGTATAAATTATGTTGATCACGACATATCACTACCTCAGAATTACAAAGTTCTATCCGCTCAGTACCTAGTTTTGAGAAATTTAACGTTAAAGATTTTGAGTGTCATAACGTGTCAAGCTTTTTCAAATGCAGTTCTTTGAATACATTTGTATCTTGATAGCGACTCAACATAATTTAAAGTTTTTGATAGAGTTGATAGAACATTTGCTTTCTGACCGCATGGTCTTAGTAACTCTAAGAGGCCTAAACAGTCAGATAAAACTTTGCAATTCTAATGAAGCCATGAGTCACCGATATCAAAACCTGTCAAAGATGTTATTTTAAGTGTCTATAACCTCTAGCTCTATGTATAACAACTGGCTTCAATACACACCACTGGTGACCACACCAGAAGCAGATTTATTATTATTATTATTATTATTATTATTATTATTATTATTATTATTATTATTATTATTATTATTATTATTATTATTATTATTATTATTATTGTTATTATTATTATTATCATTATTATTATTATTATTATTATTATTATTATTACAATGTTATCATTATCATCATTATCATCGTTATTATTATTATTATTATTATTATTATTATTATTATTATTATTATTATTATTATTATTATTATTATTATTATATCATCATTATTGTCATTATTATTATTATTATTATTATTATTATTATTATTATTATTATTATTATTATTATTATTATTATTATTATTATTATTATTATTATTATTATTATTATTATTATTATTATTATTATTATTATTATTATTATTATTATTATTATTATTATTATTGTTGTTGTTGTTGTTATTATTATTATTATTATTATTATTATTATTGTTATTTTTATTAGTATTGTCATTATTGATATCATAATTAAAAGTATAATTGTTGTTTCTATTGTTATTATATTTATTGTTGTTATAATCATAATAACAATAATGATAATAATTTTACTTATAATAGTACTACATTGTATTACTAATAATTATAATAATAAAATCGATCGCACTTGAGTAAGATAATGTCATAAGTATATTATTATATTTCCTCCAGATTTAGTACAACAGCTGATCACACCTGAGCAAGATAGTCTTATATATAGGAATCTGTCACTCTCAGGTGTAAAACGGATAACACCTGGCCAAATCAATGTCATAAGTATCTGTCCTCTCCGGGTATAAAACTGACCACACTTAAACAAGACAATATTATAGAAACTCCAGGTATAACAGCTTATCACACCTAACGAAAATACTGACATAAGTATCTATCGTTTCAGGAATAAAACTGTACGCTCTTAAGTAAGATAATATCATAAGTACTTTATAATTATTATCACCTCCAGGTATAAAGACTGATCACACATAACGAAAATATTGTACTAAGTGTCTGTACCCTCCAGGTATAAAACTGATCACACCTGGGTAAGACCATGTCATAAGTATATATAACCCCCTCCAGGTATAAAGACTGATCAAACAGGAGTAATAATCTCATAAGAATCTATCACCTCAAGGTATAAGTGTCGACAACAACTCGCGACTCCGATGACTACACCTGCGAAAGGTATTATCATAAGTAACTGTCACCACCTCTGGGTATCACAACTGACCACAACAAACGACGCCGATGACCACCACAAGTAAGGAAGAAAGAAATAATCAGTAACCTGTTAACTTCTGTACGGAACTCCCGACCTGTGCGCGGGACACTTCGACAGCGATCTGACATACCAGACACAAGCAAGCAGGCGACTGACGAGCGAGAGGCCTGGAACAGTTATAGGGGAGGATTTTTCCTGCCAATAGGGCACTAGTGGTACTACTGGATAGCGCGGTGCGAGTTTGAGGAATCGAAACTTCTTCGACTCTTCGAAGCATGGAGTTATTGTTCGTGATATTCGAATACCTTATGCGAATGGGGCTGTTGTTTGTTTGTTTGTTTTCTTGTTTGATGTTCATTTTTGTTTGATGTCTGTCGTTTTTTAATGATATAAGTCCATCAGCGACATTTGTTTGTTTCAGTTAAGGAAAGCATTCCAATACATTAACGATCATTTAGTGTTGGGAAAAATAAGATGGACAGATAGAAACAACAGGGGGAGAGTAAAGAAGCAGAACCTACCTGTAGCGCCCTCCAACCTCCCTCTCTGCGACATTCGCTATTCGGTATTATTGTTTGCTTTATTTATCACTCTGTCTTGTAATCCAGAAGTACAAAATATTGTTAAATTTACCATAATGATTTTAGATAAAATAATCCGTTAATATTACAACGTGTTCAGAAATTATCTGATCTCCGTAAAAGCCACGCGATATGCGAATGACTCTGTTAAGCTTCGAATAGTTGTGAATAGCGAAACATTCGAGAATGGTATAATAATAATACTCTAATAAAGTCAAATGGGCATGGCTATGCTAGTGGTGTCACAACACGGTACAATCAGGAGCTCATCAATTTTTTTATATATAATAATGGAGTTATTGGTATAATTTTAAAGCCTGTGCGTTTGTCATGCTTTTGCAGAACAAATTACCCATCTATCTTGAATAGAAGTTGAGATATTTGTTATTGAAGTTTCCTGGTGTCAGAGGTAAAATTACGAGAAAATGGTCACCAAAGTTTGATGACTTCCAAAACTTGAGTGTTTTTGAAATCTGCATGCAAATTTATATCTTTTTATGTCCATCATCAACATTTTTACAGATTTTGAAAAAATCCATTCAGAAACGTTTATTTGAAATGAACATAAAAGGTGTTGAGCACCCCCCCCCTCCCCCCCACCCACACACAAAGAAAAACAAAGAAAACAATCGTTAAGAATTACTCGACAGACGGAAAAAGTTTTTTTTTCAATTTCGTAATTTTGACGACCAACTGATTTCGCCTTGATGGCACACTTAAATGGGCAGATCAGCCGGGTGCCCGCGGGGTGTATTGGCAAAAATTGGCGTCAATGGACTGGAACCACCCCCCCACCTCTCTCTCTCCCCCCCCTCTCTCTCTCTCTCTCTCTCTCTCTCTCTCTCTCTCTCTCTCTCTCTCTCTCTCTTTCTGGAGACTGCCTGTCATGCTGCCAGCCCTTTTGTCGTGCGTGTCAAACTGAAAGGCGCCATGGTTACACCCCACTAAAGCTCGTTCACTTTCGTCTGCAATAGCTTTACGGCATAGATGATTTAACTGAATGAACGTTTTGGTGACATATATCAGGGGAAAACTTTTCAGTTTTAGTAAGTTTTAAAGTAATTGCAACATAACAAGGTCGATAAGTGTCGAAATGTAGATGTGTCACAAAATAGTAACAAATACGTAAGGAAGAAAGAGGAGAGATTAAGACGATCGATGTTTGATAGGAAAGAAGGAGCAAATCACACCAGAGCACCCATCAACCACCTGCCTCGTCTATCCGTGGTTTAAAAAAATCTGGCTCATTCATTAATGTGTTAATGCGCTTGAAACTTTGCATGGCATTCCTGTAGGTCAGCGACGAAACAGAAATTATAAAATATTAAAAAAAAAAGAAATCTTGACCCAGTTAGAAAAGATGCAGTGTGATTCGAAAAGAAAGACCCGATTTCACTACTCAATATTTTAACAAGGAAAGCAATAGAAAACTTGAGTTATAGTGCGCAACTTATAGTCAAATATTTCTACAACTATTGAACAAAAAAGGCTCCATCTTTTGCACAATGACTTGTATCAATTATTTTGTCTCAACATATCAATATTTTTATAAAAACCTGTTAGCTGTAATCTAGAAAATTACTTAAATAAATACTAATAAAAAATCCCAGTGGCTGGTTGCTACAGATTTTAAAAGGTTTACAGCTGGGACAATATCGCTTTTAAAAGCAAGTCCGTCATTTTTCTTATCGCGACATTATGCTTAGGGAACTTATGTTTTGAGAACCTTTAGTAGAAAAAAGTTTTCACTATGAAATTGATTTCTTGTAACAGGTTTTGTCACTAAAAAGTGTCGTCGGTGAGCTGTGACGTAGGCCATACGAGTATGCTGTGAGAAGTGGAAAATGTGAACAATTCCATTTTCCGCGTGACGAAGATTTATAGTATTTATACATTTTATGGAAGGTGTGGTGGTGGAGCGGTTAGTGCGCTCGTCTCTAAAGCAGAAAGTCCGGTTTGAAGCCTCGGTTCAGGCCAATATATTTTTCACCCCCTCCTGTCCACCCAACAGTAATGGGTACCTGACTTCGAAATGGGGAAGTAAAGGCGGCGTGGCCACTCTACCAGAATAAGCCGAAGGCCCAGGAAGTTGTCTCACTAACAAGGCAATCCTCAATGTCCGGATCGGATGCGAGAACAACTTTTATACATTTATTAAGAAACGTTTTAAAATCTAGCCTCAATTGTTGTGGGAAAATATGACTAAGTTTAAGACAAATTTATACAAATTTCTGTTCAAAGTTTGGATGGCATGGATTGACTCGTCTAAGATATATTTGAGGATAAGTTGCGCCTCGAATTTTTGGCTGCGCCAGTCTATAAGTCACACGTATTGTATTCCCAATCAAACGGTACTAATTTCTCGTCTTACAAGTGTCCATTGTGGCCACAAGAAGCAGCACGGTCAACATCAGTGCGAAAAGAGAATTCATCCAAGACGTGTCTCAGCATATCACGACCCACTGAGTTGATGGCTGTTGTTAGGAAATTAAGGTCATCGAGGTTAGTGGGTAGCGGGGGAACAAAAACCCGATCTTTCACACATCCCCACAAGTAAAAATCACACACGGCGAGGTCGGTGGACCAGTCACGACAAGCAGAAAGGGCAAGGTTTTGAGTCAATTTCCGACCAGTCCGTCACTGGGGCACGGCTATTTAAAAGTTTAATAGCTCCTCTTTAAAATGGTTCCTGACTCATTCCATAATTATGTTTGAGAACTGAAGCAATGCGTCATAAACTCAGTTCAATCTTTTTTATTCAAAATTTAGCCAGTTCCACTTTCAAGTGGTCACTGACTCATTCCATAATGATTCTTGAGGAGTGAAGCAATGCGTCATAAACTCAATTCAATCTGTTTGAATCACCCTGTATATTTGTGACCTATAATAAACACTGCAATGTGGGTGCACTCATAGAGCCAAAACGATAAATGAAACCAAATAAATAAACCCAGCCTACAAATTGCTCATTTTGAGACAGAGAAACCGCCCTGCCCCCATAGATCAGTATAAGCTCGTAGATTTCCTTTTCGTCTCTATGTTGGTAGGTACACTCTCAGTATTGAGTATAATCGGGTTTTTTTTTGTACATGAGTAGGTATAAGAATCAATCTACAATTATGTTGTATAACCTGGGTCTACTATTATACAAAAAGCGTCATACTGAATAGACTCTAGACAGGAGTAGTTGTAATCTGAGAAGCTGGAAACAGTCTCATTTCTAATTCATCCAAATACGTAGGTTGTTAGGTTGGTTCTATTTTGGTTCTTACATTCTCAGTGTTGGGAATATTCTTTTTATTTCTTATGTTAATATTGAGTTGTGACAACCAACAAAACATTGGGTTTTTTTTTTACAACATGGTTCTTTAATTGTAAAAGAAACATTTTGCTGACTAGACTTTAGACAAGCTTAGTTGTGTTCTGAGAAGCTAGAAACAGTCTTATTCTTTAGTCATTCACTGTGTGCGTTGTTACTATGTTGGTCGTTACTCTCTCAATGTCCAGCATTAGGGTTTTATTTGTGTGTTGGTGTAGCTGTAATAACCAATAAAGCGTTTTTTCACAAACTGGTTTTGAAATTTTAAAAGCAACTTTGTACTGACTAGACTCTAGACAAACCTTGTTTTGATCTAAGAAAGTGGAAACAGCCTTATTTTTTTCTTATCCAAATTCCCTTCTTAAGTCGTTCTGTTGGTTATAACTGCATGTATTTTGGTCTTTACACTCTGAATGTTGAGCACAATCTGTTAACATTTTAAATTGATAACTAGTTGTGAAAACCAACAAAACATTTTTGCAACCTGGTTCTGCAATTAAAAAACAAAAATTTTCTACTGTTTAGACTTTAGTCATGCTTAGTTGTGATTTGGGAAGTTGGAAACAGCCTTATTTCTCAGTCACCCCAAGTTTCTTAGTACATTGTTATGTTCGTTGTTACTATGTTAGTCGTTATACTCTCAGTGTTCAAAATAATCTTTTTGCGGTTGTGTATGTGTAGTTATAACAAATAACAAAACATCGAATTTTATAACCTGGTTCTACAAATTTAACTTCAACTTTGTATTGAATAGATTCTAGACAAACCCAGTTGTGATGTAAGAAGCCAGACACAGCCTTAGTCCGAAGTCGTTTCCTACGTAAGTCGCTTAGCCCGTCGCTACTATGTTGGTGGATACACTCCCAGTGTCCAGTATCATGGTTTCTTTTGTGTGTTGGTGGAGATGTAATAATCAGTAAAAAAGTTTTTTTTTTTACCAACTGCTTTTTAAGTTTTAAAAGCAACTGTGTACTGACTTAACTTTAGACAAGACTAGTTGTTTTCTGGAGACCTGGAAGCAGCCTTATTTCTTAATCATCCAAATTTCCTTCGTATCGTTGTTTTGGTTGTTACTATGTTGGTCGTTACGATCTTAATGTTCAGCATTATGATTTTATTTGTGTGTTGGTGTAGCTGTATTAACCAATAAAGCGTTTTTTCATTAACTGGTTTTGAAATTTTAAAAGCAACTTTGTACTGACTAGATTCTAGACAAACCTTGTTTTGATCTTAGAAAGTGGAAACAGCCTTAT